AAAAGAACCTCGTTCTAGAACTTTGAACCCGGACGTTTGCGGGCATAGGTCTCTGTCATAATCGCCACCCAAACATTAGTTGGGCGGGTAGCCAGTTAGAGTCAAACCTCCTTCCTCCCTGAGAGTACAGATGTCATCCCAGGCCACTTTGGAGATGCATCCAACTTCAGGGTCCCCATGCGGTTTCCACAAAAACCTCCTTGCATCCTTCTTCACTTTTCTGAGCGTGGGAGGCGTGATTCTCTTGACCGCTGCTACATACCACAAAAGAGGGAAAGCTAAAACTGTAATGACGAGTGCTCTTCTGATAAGTGAAAGGTGCTGAGCTTTGCCCCAACTTCGGATTTTGTTGGATACTCTCTCTTGCAGAATTAACTCCTGGGAAGAAGTGCAGTTCCCCAGTGCCACTTGTACCCCTAAAAAACGCTCTGCTGCATTCGCCTCCACCCGTATCATTCCCTATTGGACTGACATAGGGAACTGTTTCGAAAGAAAGAAAATGGATTTATTCCAGTTCACCGCTGCCGCCGAAAACTCTGCAAAGTCGATTAAACACTTCTTGAGAGCCCCCAATGAGTTAACGTCGTTGGATGAGATTGCAAAAAGGTCATCTACGAGCGCCTTCATACAACTTTCCTTCCCTTCCGGCATGCACAGCCCAACGATGTCCGGATGTTTGTGACGAACCACTTTCCGACCCCGTGCTATCTTTCGTACCCCTTGACTCAATACCCCCTTTTGTATCATACCGACCCAACAAAACACCCGTCGCATTTTCTTGATTTCAGGTGCCTTGTTTAGGCCCCCATTTTTCGGAGGTTCTATTGATTCTTGGAATTCTGCTTTTTATAATTCGGGAAATACAATTATGCGCGCCTTAGCGAGCGCACTAGGAATCGGGCTCGACAGTTAGGAATTTCGGAATAAGCGGAACCCGACGTGTCTTCTTCTTTGCATGAATGTTCTTGGTCACGACGGAGAAAACTCTAGGAATTTTGTGAGAATACGGATAGGCATAGGACTTTCTTTTCCCACGTCGACTTTCGCGCACGGATATGGTGTTTTCACTTTTTGAATTGGTTTAGGGCATAGGTAAGCTGTAACTGTTTTGGTGCTTTTCTCTCTTGTTGTCGGCACCACGCATGCGAGCTTCGCCCTCCTTGTTTCCCGAGTCATCCTTCCCCCCGCACTCTCTTCTCTCTCTCCCTTCTCCCTCCTCTTCTTCTCCCATCGCAACTGTTTTTCCCTCTCTCTCTGCTTGTTCGCGCATATTTTCCCCTTCTTGATCATCTGAATCTTGAACCCGTCTCGCGCTCCTTTTCGCGTCTCTTTCCTTCTCGCTCTTCAACCTTGGCTCACGAAGCCCGGTTGATCCTCCGATTACCCTCGCTCACCAATCAGACGCGTTGAGCAAGAGGATCTTCCTGTTGCGCGACGAATCTGATTGGCTGAACACTGAGTTCCGAAGGATCAACATGGCTTCCCTTGAGCACCTCTTGCTGAATCTTCTCCTCTTACACCTCGATCTCCCCTCTGTCTTCTCCCTCGTCTGTTTTCTTTTTCGCAACTATAAATTCTGCAAGAGCGCCCGCAAAGCTCTCTTATGTTTTTCACTCGCAAGTCAGCTTCTGGGAAGCAGTGGCTAGGTGATGCGTTTGGTGCGAGTCGAAAAGTCCTATCGGGCCTACTGTACGCTGGCCGATTGTGCGCTTGATCGCCACGACGGACTGTGGGATCCGCGCAAGCCGTGTCGAGCTTGTGTCAACGGGGTGACGATCGCAGTGGTGAAAGTTAGCACGCGACGGCCGGGACCGTCGGTGCGGGTATGAGGATTAGCAATTGGAGTTGAGTGGATGATTGGCCGGAGGCCATACTGAAATTTCACAGCGAATGCGCCTTCATGGTTGCGGATCATTTTTTTGTGTGAGTTCATGGCTGCGAAGCCGAATGTTTCCTTGTCGGATTCCGATGTCTCCTGTCTTGACATTTCTCGTCTACCTCTCCCACCTCTCTCTCTCTGATCTGAATGACGATGTATTGTGAGTTTGTCTCTTCTGTGAACCGATGTGAACTCTTTTGATTTCCTGTGAAGGAGAACTTCTTCCGGAACTCTTCCATTAGTTTCCTGGGTAATCCCCGGATACAAAGGAACTCAATCATCTTGTCTTGTGAACGGTGGATGCGTGTGTACAATCCCCCGATGTATTTCTGACATATGCACCTTTGTCATTTTCGCACCTTCCACAATGGATGTATGAATAAAGATGTTTGTATTTTCGCGTTGATTAGACCCAGAGCTCGACGAGATTTTGTTCGAGAATGCAAGAGTGTTTAGATCTGTTGCTCTGAATGCACTGCGCATGCCATCTACCTTATACTACACGACATCTGCAGACGGTCTATGGGGCAGCCTCGAACAAGCCAGGCGCCTCACATTTTTGTCGATCCGGCCTGCTGAAACTGAGTCGCGGGTTGATCCCTCTAAACTCCAACCCGATTACTGCATGGTTGTATATGCTTCTCTCGGGTCGAAGGGAAGGAAAATATTAGTTAGTCATTTTTTCGATTGTGCTTTTTGATGACGTCTCGAGGTTTTTGCAAACACATTTTGATTGATTGATATGTGGACTGACGGTCGTACCTCGATCGGGCGCCAGCCTCTCGTATCTCCCTCGCCAACGCGCCCCTTCCCTTACAACTAGGAAAGGACACGTGTTTGCGAGTGGGACGTACGAGAAGCTGTCGCACGGATCGGCGGACGATATTACTTCCCTCCCGAAAATCGTTGTTCTGGATTCGTGGATGCTGGCTTTGTTATTATCGATACACACTTTCCGCCTTACTAAGTGTTGTTGCCATTTAACGAGTTGATCGTTATTCCGTGGACGACAGTGGCGCCCCATTGGCCTCGAACCCTGTGCACTGAGTGCCAGCGTTTCGATCACCACGAATCAAAGGGCTTCCACTACCGGATACGGAGTGAAGACGAGCACAAGGAAAGAGCAACGCTGATGAGACCCTCCACGTCAGACTTGGAACTGACCAACGAGCGACGTCGGGACTTGACACGGAAACGGGACACGCGAAGTGTACCGAAGCGCTTCCGCTCTAAACGAAGATCCATAGCGCGGTGGGAAGCTCGACAATACTTTTTGGATTAAATTCGGATTTTTCTCTTTTCGCGCCGAGCCCGCGCGCGCATTCCGCGACTTATTTCATCGGGCCAACACGGGGGATTTCAGTTCTGTCTGTGTCCCCACACTCAATTTTCCAAAAATCCTTGGGACACCCCATCTTGCTATTTTTCTGGGCCTTCTTTCCGCACCCTTAGCACTCCGGACAAAAGACAGCACAGGGCGTGAGGTGCGCGTCACATGTTTGCGGATATTACAGAGGAGCGGCTCGAGGTGTAGGACAAATAACAATGGCGCCAAAGGACAACCTTGGCGCAGCGAGCGGCTTAGTTGGAATTCCTCCGATAGTATGCCGTTGACGCAGACTGCAGTTGTGGAGAACGCATAAAGTATCTTTACCCAACCGCTGAAGTTTTCTCCGAACCCCAAGAAACGCAGGGTGGTTAGGACAAAGGTCCAATTCACCCTGTCGTAAGCTTTTTCAAGGTCCAGCAGAAGAACTGCAGTGTTGGATTCCTCTCTTTCGATCAGTTCAAGGGCCTCGATGGCGGTTACCACATTTTCGAAGATGGACCAACCCCGAACGAAGGTTCCCTGATCCGGATGGACCAAGCTGGGTAAGTAGTTTGCAAGTCTGATGGCCAGAGATTTGGCCAGGATCTTGTAAACTACGTTGAGCAGGGAAATCGGGCGCCAGTTACGAACTTCACTGCGCTCGCCCTACGTGACGCTTTTTTGTGCTTTTAAACCAGAAGGAAAAATATTTTCGGAATTTAAAAAATACAAGGAAATCACGTTTAAACAAAAAGAAAGTGCTACCAGTAGACAAGGACGGGGGAATCGGGGGATAGTACAGGCTGTGCACCCGTGCATCAGGGCTTGTTTCAAGGCATGTACTGTGAACCTTGCTTGCGAACGAGACCAAAAATGCAAAGCGGTGTGGAGGGGTCTTACTATGTTCCCTTCAGTTGAGCAGGGGTAGATTTGCTGTCAGCATCCCTGAAAGAAAACACGAAGAGGACCTAAGTGTCTCCT